ACCTGTCAATATCCAAAAAGTCATCGGTGATATTGAAGAAGGTGACGCTTATATCTTGACAAACTATCAAGTGGAAAGCAATATTGGCATCTATAAATCAACGATAGGAAAAAGGAAGATCATTATCAATGGTCAAACCAAGATTATCAAATATATGGAGGGGTGATTTATCAAATGGAGAGGTGATTTTCCTATGTATCGTTTTGACTTTAGGAACTTTCTAACTTTAATGGATGTTCGTAACATTGATGAAGCCATGTTGATTGGTACGTTATAATTTTTTTGTTTATTTCTTATTTCGATTTTCTTTTAAATTTAAAATCTGTAATAATTTTATATGTTATACATTTCAATATGATGCATTTTCTTATATTTTTGTAGATGTTATTGGATTGATTGTTTTTCATTATGTTTTCTTACGCCATGACCATAAATAAGAGTCAGGAACAATCATTATGCATGTGGCCTTATTTATTAAGAAACCAGTGTTTAGTAATGGTCAATTGTATGTTGTTGTCTTCCGTGTCACAAACAGAAATGAGTTTGAAAGTCCTAATTTGTGGCGACTATGACGTGCAAAAAAATCAAACCATGAACGTTGTATATAAGGAAGTGTTCAATAATATATAGATTTTATTATCATTGTATTTATTAATTTATTTATTATTAATGGCAGGATCTTTCATTTAGTAAGTATTTTGAATTTTAACTGAACATTGCATATAAAAAGGACCGAGATAATACCTCCGTGCATCGCACGGGGACTGTACTAGTATATATAAAGAGGTTGTTGGAAAAATACATTAATAGAAAGTTTGACTAAATAAATATAATGTTTGACTTACTATTAATGGAAAGTTCGAAAAAACACATGTAAATCTTTAGAAACAAAATCTGAATCCTATTTTTTCGGTAACAAATTTGGAGATTCTTATGGCAAAATTTGAATCCCATTTTTTTAGTATCATATTTTATTTTTTTACCAAAATTTAAATCATATCTTTTTTTGTAACAAATTTAGAGATTCTTATCCAAAAAATGTGTTAATTATTTATGAAACAATTCTAAATCTATCTATATATAAAAAGGTTGTTGTTAAAATACTTTTTTAGAAACTTTTGACCAAAAAAAAAAAACCTTTGACATTCTAAATATAGAAACCATATTTAAAGCATTTATAATAATATACAAAATTTAAAAAAAGTCATACTTGAATTCAAAAATTAATTGATTAAAGATATTATTGGCATATGTGGATAAGTCACCTTAAAGAGATAATTTAGAAACCACAAATTTAAAAAAAGTCATACTTGAATTCAAATATTAATTGATTAGAGATATTATTGAGATATGTGGATAAGTCACCTTAAAGAGATATGTCTCTATGGAATATATATCAGAATTGGATCCATAATTACCATTACATAATTATGCGAATCTTGAGTTAAAAAACGGTTGTTTGGTATAAATTAATATGCACTACCACTATTATCTGTTCACCTCATTCACAGAGTTCAGAGAAAAAAAAAAGATAAATTTTAGAACACATCGATAATATAATGCCGCCAGTCTGGGATACACTCGATTCCGTGAGTAGGAGAAACAAACTTTTTTTGCACTTGACAACAGTCCTAATAGTTGAAACGCATCACCAACGGGAGAGCTGGAACGCATTCCATATACTGTTTCATGATGAAAAGGTAAATATTTTTATTTGTAATATCAAATTTATATAATTTTAAAAAAAAAAATTTAATTCACAAAAAAGAGACGAATTTCAGAACACATCAATAATATAATGCCGCCAGTCTGGGATACACTCGATTCCGTGAGTAGGAGAAACAAACATTTTTTGCACTTGAGAGCAGTCCTAATAGTGGAAACGCATCACCAACGGGAGAGCTGGAACGCATTTCATATACTGTTTCATGATGAAAAGGTAAATATTTTTATTTGTAATATCAAATTTATATAATTTTAAAAAATATTTTAATTCACATTTATAAATTTATATGGTAGGGTACATTTATTAAAGGTATACGTTCTATACATATGGGAGCATTTCGAGGTGTACTGAACGAAGGCGAGATGTATGCAATTAGCAACTATGTCGTTGAATTTAATCATGGGAAGAAAGATATCATAACCAACATATGGAAACTTGTGCTTCATGGAAGAACTCATGTTATCAAATATGATGGGATTTTCCCTCAAGATAGTGATATTTTCCCTCAACATTAGCAAGGAGTAAGAGATATTTATGATATTTAGAGTTTGATTATTATGAATTTTAATTTCATTCCATGTCGTTGAATTCCGAATTCTATAATAAATTTTAGTGTTATTATATTTGTTATCGTTATAAAATGTCGTTGAATAATGTTTTTTTTTATTAAATGTCGCATGAGATATTTATGATATTTAGAGTTTGACTATTATGAATTTTAATTTCATTCCATGTCGTTGAATTCCGAATTCTATAATAAATTTTAGTGTTATTATATTTGTCATTGTTATAAAATGTCGTTGAATATTTTTCTTTTTTTTTGTATTAAATGTTGCACGAATGTGAAAATTTGAACATTTTATTTTTTACTTCTACTGTATATTAGTTTAAAATTGGTAGAATGCCATGATATAAGATATAAATTAATACAAATTTTAACAAATATTTCAAATATAAGATTATATAAATAAAAATTTACGGAATTAACAATAACTGAATCAAGTACATTTAATGGATTATATTGCATGATTTTTCAATAATTTATCATAATGATTATATTATAAATATTTATTTGATTAAAATATTTATATTAATTTGTGTTATATAATAATAGATGCTGATCTTAATGATAAAAGGTTGAATATGATCTCGCCGTGGTAGTTTTTTATTGACGAAAAATCATAGTCTCAAATCAAAATTAATTGTAGAGATAATACAATTAATGGTGTAGAGATAATATTGGATTGGATAACTCATTAATGAAAATCGCTCATTATTTGTATTAATATCTCAAATAACATTTTAATTACTTATTAATGGTTCAATCCATATTTATTTCTTTTTATGTCAAAATTTTAATAATAATAATTTATATATTAATCTGTTTTTAATCGCATGATATGTATTAGTATAGATATATACGGTGAGTATGATGCTATCACAACGAAAAATCTCCACTTCTTAACTATTTTGCACTTATCTTATCATCATACAAGACAAAGTTGAAAATTGCAATTTGATTTCAAAATTGGTTGAAGTTTTTATTGACCGAAAATCATTCTTTGAATTCCATGTGAAATGAAAATTACGAAAATCACTCTTTGAATCTATATCTATACCTATATATATAAAAAAAAAAGTTGTTGGAAAAATACTTAAATAGAATGTTTGACTTTTTAATTAATTTGTTTGACTTACTAATTTAGGAAAATTTGTTAAAATGCACGTGCAATTTGAGTTAAAAAAAATGAGATTTTAAAAGCAATATTCTAATCATTTTTAACAAAAAAACCGAGAGGATGATGTTAAATTGTGGATGAGGATAATGTCAATTGATTATTTCCGAATTGAAAGGTCACATGTGAAATATATATATCAAGGATATCTAATTTATTAGTTACTTAGGGAGCATGATTGTAGAAGATCAAAATATATCAATGTAAATGTAATATCAAGCCATATAAAACAAGTTTCGTTATAAGTAATTTAAACATTCTTGGTAAGTTTTAAATGATTATATATAATAAACCCTTTTTTTATATATATTAATAGATACTATATATGTACTTATATATCTATATTTATATTTATATCTATATATATTGAAAGAGGTTGATGAAAAAATCATTAAACTTGATAAAAAATTTGAGTCAAAACCTTTGACTTACTTCTTTTGGAAATTCAAACTACTACTATAAAATAACAATAGGGATTTACTTTAAGTTGAAAACAAGTTCCCGCCTAAAATTATAGATTTTACTACAATTGATAACTTTTTTAAATTCTTTGAAAAATTGAGAGTTGATTTGTAATTTGAATTTTAGCGCCGACGTTGGAGGTGGTCAAGTCTATCAATGAGTACATGACATCATTGAATATGTTGGATGGGCGTATGTACTTGAGCTCTGACAGTACATGCAAATCGAATTTAATAATGATTTTTTGTCTAATCTCCATACGCCTGAGTTTTTTAACAGTATCAAGTGTTCCGGAATACCGAACCATGAGTTGTATTTGAAGATTAGAATTCCAGTCATGTTGTTGCGGAACATGGATCATTCTATGGATTTGTGTAATGGGACACGACTGGTTGTGACAAAGCTATCCACTCATGTTCTTGAGTGTAAGATACTCACAGGAGATCATGCTGCTGATAAGGTGTTGATTCCAAGATAACTCCTTCTGATGTTAGAATTCCTTTCAAGTTCCAGCGACGACAGTTTTCCATTATGGTTTCTTACGCCATGACTATAAACAAAAGCCAGAGACAATCCTTATCTCATGTTGGCTTATTTCTTAAGAAACCAATGTTCAATCATGGCCAGTTATATGTTGCTGTCTTACGTGTCACTAACCGAAAATATTTGAAAATCTTAATTTGTGGCGAAGATGACATGCCTAAGAATCAAACCAATAATGTTGTATGTAGGGAAGTGTTCAATAATATATGATCTTTTCAGTTTAATTATATGTTTATATGCCTATTCTTATGATCATGATCAGTGCATTATTACACAATTTCTATACAAAAGTGCTTTCTAAAAAGAGTATAGATAATAATTTCCCCGTGCATCGCACGGGTGATTACTAGTAGTATAGGAAAATTACAAGCAGAAAATCCAAGTAGTTGAGATTTGTACAAATGGGAATAAAAAAAAAACAGAATTCGTTATTTTATTGATTTTGTTATGTACTTCTTTCAGTTGTTGTGAGATATCTTGCTCGACTGTTCATATTGGGTTGTGATGACTCAATACATTTGCGCTTGGTTGAGGAACTTTCACACGATTGGGGTGTTGTTTGACCAGCATATGGCTCGGGTGTTGTTTGGTCAGCTCCAGAACGTTGTCCCTGAGGCTATGGCTCTTTGTTGCCTCCTCTGCCGGGCGACGGCCGAAATCCAGGTTCTTCTCCGTCGGCAGCAACCCTTTTCTGGTGGCACAACTGAATCTTCATACGTCGCGAAATTAGAGAAGCAGTGACGAGTTTTAACTTTTATGCCTCAGAACGACACTTATTTGTAAGGTTGGTGTACTTTGTGTTTTGATTTTAAGTGTAGTTGCCTCTTCCTGTTTTTTTTCTCGCTACACTTTATTTTAATTTTCCAAAGAGATAAATTTGTGAAGTTGCTTTAGAGTTTTTAGAATCATGATGGAGATACGAGCGTTTCAAATTTGAATCAT